GACCGACAGACACCAAGAGGAGGGAACACATCACTCCGATTCTCAAATCCATGGCTTTTAGTTAAAAATCGAATTGCATTTACGGCCTTACTGGTTCTGTATAACAAAATATACCAGAGATGTTCACTGAGCAGAAGCCTGGCGGGCCTTTCAGATCCACAGGGAGTGGTCAGCTAGTGGAGCCCAGAGTTCAAACCAAACACGGTGAAACAGCTTTTAGCCATAAACTCTCTGCTGGATTCAGCTCCCTATAAATCAGGAGACGTTTTTTTAAAAATGAAAGCTTGATCTTCTTTTCATTGCTTTTAATTAATGTACCACTTTCAAATATTCTGGTTTGAAACTTGTCTGGACTAAAATATTCCACAGTTTAGCTTTTTTGATCTTTAAATCTTAAAAATCTTCTGTTCTTTCAATTTGAAGTTAAACGCTTCTACGACAGTTTAACGTAAAGCACTTGCAATGTGCTACACAAGTAAACTCGCCTTCAGCATTAAACAAGTGCTACCTTATATGTGAGGGGAAAAAAAAGCCTTTTTTTGGGTGCAGGGGAGCTGAATGAAATATGAGAAATTCCCTCAAGTTGTGTCTCTTGAGGACTAGAAGTTGGAAAATAAAAAATCAGGCAGTGTGATAGCAATAGCAAGTCTAGCACAATGCTAAATGTGTACTAAACCAAACATGAATGAATCAGTTCAGATGGAAATGACAATAAACCTATCTCATAATTTAGATATACAGACTTGGTTATGAAGTATATTTAATAATCAGTTCATTAGCAGCAGTAATCATGTTTTGCACCAAAATCTGCTGCAAAACAGTTCAGTTCACCTACAGTTAATCCTCAAAGCAAAGTGCTGGACAAAGCCACACTTTGAACTGACAGCGTGCAGAACTCCTAACAGAGCATAAAAAGAAAATATGTCCAACGATGGCGCCGATAAAACAAAAGGCTTTTTAATCAGGTTAAACGGGTGCACGTCCGCGCAGGGCAATAACCTGTGGCCATAGATGTAAGCAACAACCGCCTCAGCAGTATTAGAGGCTTATAGTGAGGAGCGGGGAGAATCCTATCACTGCTGCGGTGCGTTCGTGTGTCACTGTTATATTTATGTGTGTTTGACTGAGAAAGAAAAAAAATATCCCACACAAAATGACACAGCATCAAGCTACAGTACTTCCCCATAGATGCCCAAAAAAAGCGATCTTTTTCTCTCCGTGCCTTTACACGGCATTAACTGAAGGCTTTTCTTTTTTTTTTTTAAGAGATGAAAAAGGCGGCAGTGAGACGCTCGGCACACTGCTTCATCAATGGCTCTCATTTACTGATGGAAACGCAGCCATTGATCGCGTCGTTCTTTGATGCAGCTATTGGAGCCGCGAGAGCCTGATTATTGTGTAGCCCATGTGTTATGTTTTAATACGTTGGTTTGAGTTCTACATCAGAAGACATCGTGATCTTATTACACGACGGGAGCCCGAGGGCTGCGTGTAGTTCGGTTCCCTTGGGCCTGACCGAAAGATTAATAAATAAATAAATTGCATCCAAGCAAGAAGGATTCACTAAAAGTTAGCCAGTGACAGAAAAGAAGACAGACTGTTATTATTATAAAAGCTCAAGTTTAAAGCTTTTGGAGGCACTTCAGGTAGATTGTTTATGGGTCAAATTTGACGTTAAAAGTCTTCAGAAATGGGTGAAGCTTGACTTAAGGCCACATTCTGGGATGTTCAGGTGCCAAGAAGGCCTCAAACGTCACACGCAGCCAAAAGAGTAATATGATCTCATTTAATGGCAAGATCCGGGCCGCTCAGTTTTTTTTCTTTATGTCGGAATTGCAATAGTTTGACTCAAGCCAGCTGCTGTAATCCGTAAGTGAAATAATATTAAGGTATGAATTACTGTACCTTTCCGTGGACTTCAAAGCGAAATAGCATTTTGCAGGTTTTACTGAGATGAATGAGAGCGCTCTGGATAAATCTCTTTTCCTCAGGATCAAAAAGCAATTCCCAGCCAAACAAGACGGACGTTTCTCGTGCACACGGCTGAACGAAATTTAGCAGCAAACCGAAGGGAGCTGCAAATGATTCATGTTGTCTTTTTAGTTTTGTGCGCTTTTACAAAACGCAGGTGACAAATAAAACAAAAATATGTGGATTGAGGTACTTGTTCACTTTTAGTTGCACCATCAACGCTGCAAAAACCCTCTTTTCTATCGTTTAGTTGTGTCGGCGCTCTCATCTGCCCCTTATGAACCAAAACCACCACAACACAGTTTATTTATCAACCAGGCTGAGAGGTCGCTACTCGTCTGCACCGATACACACCGCCAGTCAAACGTACCTGCACACACACACACATGGGTTCACACCAATTAACAGCCAGTCATTTATTGACTGGTATATTCAGCTTGTGTCCCGTTCGGCACCCAGCATCCACCCGTCATATTTGTGTTTGTTCTGCGCCAATCGATGCCAAGTGTATCAATAATAGAAACGGGCTAATTTCGCCGTGACGCTTGACGTCAGAGCTTATGGAAATGACTGTTTGATTGTGCTCTGAGACGTAACAGACAGAATAATCTGCGCCCTCGTTTGGAATACTAATCATCGTCAACAGGGTTTTTAAAAACAGGTTTCTATTTTAAATTCTCTAAAAGTCATTACAGATGTGCCTAAATCGGAGCATCCAGTCTGCCGCCGTTGCGTAAGTCCGCCCGTCAGACTCTCAGCCTGACTTTAGGTAGTGGCTGGAGGAAGCTTTAGCAGATTACAGCCGCTCTACACTTACCACGGCTGAGGCTGTAATCTGAGTTTCACTTAGCAGAACCTAGCAGTCAGATGTGCGCGGGCGTTGGATTACAATGATGGCTGGCCCAGATAAATCCCTCCGGCGCTCCGGGGGAACGCTGAGGAAGACGAGTCTTTGTGTTTGTGTGTGTGTGTGCACAGAAATCCCACAAATTAAATCATTCTGCATCCCCGCTGCCTTTTGCTGACGCCGTAATATTGTGCAGGGATCAAGGCAGCGTGATACAAACTGAAATCCCACAAGGAATCACATCAATAGCCGGGCTCTAAACTCAGTTTTAGCAAAGCAAATGATCTTCAGAGCAACACCCTCTCTAGTGGCCGAGCGCTGCTCACTGGGAGAGACGCTAATGGACTTCCCTCTCGCTCTATGAATCACAATAAGAATGCAAATAACAAAAACGACAGCGGCCAAAATGGGCAGCCAGATGCAATCAAAAGAGGTCTAAATTGTGAGTTTTTTTTTTTTTTTTACTGGGAAATAAAGACGAAGCGAGCCAGAAATGTAGGGCACTTTACCAGGTTGAGCGGCGCGGTGACAGATTGCCGGTTCAGAGGTCGAGCGAGAACGCCGCGACGTAGATGCTTAAAATGATTGTAGGGGGAACGCAGCAGTCAAAACATGTCGAGTTTAAAAGAAGCACGGAGGAGGAAAAACATGGTTTCACTGTCAATAAAAAAGAAGACGATAAAGTAGATCAAATAAAAGCCAAATAATGGAAAAGCCAAGAAAGAAAAAAAAGGAAGGGACCAAAAATAAGTGGTACCTGAACTGTATCACTCAAGTGATGGAGTCACCACAGGCGACATCTCGACGGCCTTTATCCAAGGACAATGACACAACAGCGCCACACTTAACACTCTGCTGCTTGTAATATCGCTATTCACGCACATGTTCCACAATAAACCTGGAATTCACATGAAGGTTTGCATTAAAAGCAGTTAAACGACACAGAAATCAGAAAACAAAGAGGCTTTCCACTTAATGCCAACAAAACGACACAGTATGAGTGTTATGTAGCACAAATTACGAGTTCATGTTAATTAAAGACGTCCTGATCAAGCTGTTGTGCCACCAAGTTGATCCAAATCATTGAATATTTGGTGTCTGTTGATACTGATTCCAAATTCCATCCATCCATCATCTATACACCGCTACATCCTCACCAGGGGGGCTGGAGTCTATCCCAGCTGACTCAGGGTGAAGGCAGGTTCACCTGGACAGGTAACCAGTCTATCACAGGGCTACACTTAGAGACAGACAACCAAGCACACTCACATTCACACCTACGGACAATTTACAATCACCAATTAACCTCAGCATGTTTCTGGACTGTGGGAGGAAGCCGGAGAACCCGGAGAGAACCCACGCTGCACGGGGGGAACATGGAGACTCCACGCAGGAAGATCCCGGGTGTCCTCACTGGGACGTGAACCGGCGACCTTCTTGCTGCGAGGCAACAGTGCTAACCACTGCGCCACCCTGCACCCGAGTCCAAATTCAATTTAAAAAAAAAACATACAGCTTAAATACATAAAAGCTATTTGATCCATTTTATATGCTTGGAAATAAAAATATCAACGATGCATTAAGAAAATAAACATGTCTGCTAAGTATTTAGCAGCTGGCCACCATGACAGCACCCTCTGTGCTGCTTAATGCCCTCCAGCCAGAGCTCCTGTGTTTAGGATTTAGAAGGATCGCTTCCCCAGAGGAACGTGTACCAGAGCTGACTGAAGTCATAAATGTGTTGACTGAAACAGCATCATGAGCACAGGTCGGATGTCCATTCTGCTCAATATGTGTTATCAATTAGTCAAATATCGATTGATAACGCTGTTGATTATTTAGAGAATGATTGAAAAGCGGCATCTCCAAAATAATCATCCCGTACGACGCCTGTGCTGCAGCAGATTGGGCTTAAGTTAAAAACCGCCTTCATCAGCGAGATGTGAACATCCCTCGTGTTCATACCTGCATGCAGGCTCGTGTTTGCGCTGATGTTGTGTTTCTGCTTCTCTCCCTGCAGTGTGGAACTGGACTTCAAGCAGCAGGAGGACAAGCTACAGCCGCTAATGAAGAGGCTTTGTCCTACGGAGGACTCCCACTTTCCCCCCCTGCCTTACCCCCAGGAGGCCTTCACCTCCACCCCGAAACGCAAGTCCAAAGCTGACTCCAAGAAGCACGCTCGCTGGAAACTTTGGTTCCTGTGAAAACACAGAGCCATCTCCTCCCCCCTCCTCCGCTACCGATGCACAGGATTTAATCATCCGTCTGGTCGTCCACATTTGTTTGGTTTATCCGTCATCCTCTGTTTTCTCACATCTCCTTGGATTTTGTAGACCTGGTAGCCAGTACTAACGGAGAGCTCGACCACTGGATGCCGAACCTCTTCCCAGAGACGACGGGATGCGTAACGGGACACGAGTGTGGATTCAGAGTTATTTTGAACTAATTTCTTCAAACAGGGTGTGAAATTACACCAGGGAAACATATTTGGAGATCGGCAAGGTGAGAAGACGAATTTGATTTCCCGCTGTCTATTTGCATATATTTTTCTAGCCGGCGTCTGCGGGGTCCTGTTCCGCGATAACGGTCCGGCGTCCGTCACATTTCTATTCACCTGTCGGGACTCTCGTCTTTCTTCCCAGCCTCCCGGAGAGGTTGGCATTTCAACCATAACGCTCTGAGGCCTCCATAAACAGCATATCACTGTACTGCAAAGCACAATTAACACTGTTCAGGATACATTTTTTTCTCCAGAATAATTAAAAAGAACTATTTTGAGTATTAACTCACACATGTAGATCACCGACTACTAACCATGACACACCCAAGACTTTCATATCTATCTAAAGAAGACACCTAAAAGGACAAAAGATGTTTATCGGAGTTCTACGATCAACTTTCTATCCATCGCTAAAAATGTCTCCTTGAATCAACTGACTTTGAAGTAAAGAATGAATAAATAACACTTATTTTCTTAATAACATTTGCAAAGTTAGACGTCAATGTACTTTTTTCTATATAAATATATATCTATATACATTCACTTTAAGGTTTAGTGGAATATATTTATTTGAGCTGTAGCGACGGGGGTGGGGGGAACTGCAAAGGATGTTAATCATTTCTGATCCTTAATTCTTTTTCATGCATCAGAGTTCTTACTAACCTCACACAGTGCATACGGTCATCGAATCACAATGTAAAGAACAGAAGGAATCCATGCAGGCAAACGATGAGACACGCACGCAGGAGCAAGTTGGTTTTTTTTAGCACACGTGAGGGGCAACAGATCCGTGATTGTATCGCTGCAGCATCCTGCATCAGCTAGACCACAATAGCTCCTGAAACCAAGCCAGAAAGACTGAATGTGCCACTTCAGATCACAACCAGGGCTCCTCTAATGCAGGGTGGCAGGCGTGTAGCCTCGCATGCTTTTTACAACCCTTTGGATTTTGCAGGATATTTTGTAGCTTTTCAAGAAACACTTTTTAAAGAGAACAACCAATGTCCTTTTATTTCTTTTTTTTGTTTTTTTTAGAATCATTATTATTATTAGCTCCTGCTCATCGCTTCGCATTCATTCGACTGTAAAGTGAAAACTCATGTAGCTCCTCCATACAGGGTTTTAAAGACTATGTATAGCCAAAACAATACATGAATTTACTCTATATAAATATCTGTTGTGTATCATCGAATAGGGCTAATACCATTTTACGAGTGGGAAAGCAGCCAATATCTCGAAAAAAGAAAACAAGATTAAGTTAACAACTCCTGCAGGAGCGCAAAACCGAAGTCACTCGAAAAGCCAAAAACACTGCCCCAGAAGACGAGACATATGCCAAAGTGGTTTCAAGGGCATAGATGGAACAGCACCTAGCCGACAGCTAGCTATCACTGGCTTTGACCTTCACACGCTCCAACACGCTGCATCCTGTTGGTCACATGTCGCTCATCGTTCTTGTACATGCCGGGTTGGTTTCTCTCATTAGTTATACTGTAGCATCGAGAGAGAACTAGACGTTTATCTGTACCTTAAAGAAGTGCAATTGATTTAATATGTGCAATACTGTGTCTTTTATACAGTTTTTTTTAAGAAAAAGAAGAAAAAAAAAAAAAAGATATTTATTATGTAAAATATGAAAAATAAAAACAGACATCTCCAGAGCTCTCCAGATTTGGAGCAGACTGACTTTCATTTGCAGAGCCCCGAGCAGCCCAGCAGATTTTTTTTTATTTTTATCTGACGAACACCGGTTAAAGGATTGGTTCCTGCAAATTACAAAATGTGTTTTTCTCACTTGCTTCTAATGACATCTAGCCCATAGCAGATGGTTTAGACGATATTTGCCCTGGATTGTGCGCTCAGCGCCGCGAATTACCGTCACTGTATCGGCAAAGAAGCAGCGCCTTTGAATGTCTTAAATGTTTTTTTTAAGTGCTGTGAACGCTGCACAGAAAAATTCATTCCACCGTTCTGCTTTTCCAGCAGAATTCTCAGAGACATTGCAAACTACGTGCACGGCTACGTGGCGCTAGGAGTAAGCGAGAAAATACTGTAGGCTTTGTAAATTGAATGAACCAACCTGCTGAAAACTAATTTCACTCACATGGTTTGAAAATTCTGTATGCAAAAAAAAAAAAGACTCTTATGTGATGAAAAGCAGGAGGTAAGGTGGGAAATAGAATCAGCCGTGCATCTCTTTGATGTCGTGGGGGAGGCACATCACGAGGGCAGAATACAGCGGAGGGATAAGCAGCACAGGGTGTCTGGTGCACAAAGTCAACCTGCCTCGGAAACCGGCTCTAATCCAAAGCTTACACTCGCTGCTCGGTCCATTCCTCGCTGTAATACAGTTTGTGACTTTCAGGCAAGTCCATGCACCCACTGTGCATGCACCTGCCTGATGTTAATGCGGAGCCGTAACGGAGAGCGCCCACGAGGTAAACTTGTGACAAAGCGCTGAGTAAATGCCCCCAGAGATGCAGAGTCACCCTCACGTAGCTGCACGGAGCAAATGTGGCTGGAGGGCAACACTACTCCTCCTCCTCCTCCTCCTCTTACCCAATGCACGATAATCTCCACAGGGCTTCCCTTGAGTGGATGTTTACACCACAGTACTGAGGGTACAAACAAGACACCCAGTGCAGCTTAACATCTTGCACTCTTACATCCTTTCAACGCGGTCCGCTGTGGTTCGGCGGCGGCATCAGCATGCGAGTCACAGCGGTTTTCGCGCGGCGCTGACAGCGGCCACTCATCTGACATGGATTGCGACAGGGTCAAGAAACCCGAAGGGATCCTCGGTCAAAGTTTCAGCACAGGTGAGGAGGGAAGAGGTGCAGCGAGTGATAAGTGCATGTTTGAGGCATTATGATGCAGTGCCATATCTCACTATGCTTCTTTTCTGTAAGAGCTCTGCAGCAGTCTGGCCAGCAGGAGAGGGAGGAAGAGAGCGAGGGAGGGAGAGGAGACAGAAGGATGAGAGGAGATGCTAAGAGAAATATTTGGACAGAAACAGATATAAAGATAAAGAGAGAGAGAGATGCAGAGAACCAAACGGACAGGAGGGGAACAAAACAGATCTGAATAGGCGCAGTGTTGCGATGTACAGTGTTCGGTCAGTGAGTGCATGCAGCAGAGGCAAAGCTCTAGCCCCAATAGCCGGTCAGCCCCATACTGTCAATCAATAACACAGAGTCCTTCCCCTGCAGCTTTCCACTCCGTTCCCTCTGCACACTGCAGGAAAATCATCAGGATAACTGTGGAGCACTGCAGCCGACCATCACCACGAGCCGCACTTCAAACACCACGGTTCAAAAAAAGTTCAACGGGTCATTAGATAAGCTCACCGTCTAGCGATGTTTCAAACCCCGCGCCGTTATACTACAATTGCATTCAGGTGTTTGCTGACGACGCAAAACAAATTATGCAACATCACAAGTAGAGCACTAGCGCATAATACACAGATTTTTTTTTCCCCATTTGCAGCCTCCTATTCATGTGTATCTGCAGGGCTCATCCACGAGCTTAAATTAGAGCAAATGTAATTCAAGGGCATCAAGGTAGAACCCGGTAATTTCAGCAGGAACAGCCAAAATGTTTCTGCCACAATCCTAATGTAAATGTATTCACAAGGACTCGTTTCAACCTGCGTGAGGGTGGACATGAATATAAAGACACAGCCCGCAAGGATGTCCAACGATGCAAATGTGTGACGGTGCTGTGGTATAAGTCGCTAACAGGCGTAGCACTGCAGTGACAACACGCAACAAAACCAACGCCCCCAAAGTCGTCACTCTGATCATTCTCATCAACATTCTGTGTCCACCGCCGCCGCCGCCGCCGCCAGGAGAGAGAGGAGAGGGGAGAAAGAAAAGAGAGAGGGAGACAGAGTAGAACGTTAATGCATAAATCTAAATGTAAGAGGCTGCCACTCAGAAGAACAAGGTCGGTGGTTGGCTGCGGTGTTGTGTGAGCAGCAGCAGCAGCAGCAGCAGCGCTATGTGCCTGCAGAGTAGGCAGCGGTACCCAGAGGCGGCAACAACAGCCCTCTGATTAGAAAGCTACAACACTTCCAGCGGCGCTAACTGGGTCTCATGGCTGTTAAAAATTTACATCAACCTTATTGATCATTAAATAATGATTTAGGGACCTACTTCAGATGCAGCTTCTGTTCCAAGTGCTATATAATGCATAGTGTTGGAGAGAAAGAGCCATTGGCTTTGATATGACCTCCAACTTCTATTGCGAGAAAGGACGCTGTGCACATTGATGCAAAATATTATTCAGGTAATTAGAAATGTCAAGTACAGTGCGCTGGCTAGCTACGGAGTCAGCAGCTGACAAAAGATAGGGGTCAGCGGGGACAATAAAAGCAGGCTGTGTACAGGGCGGCTGTATACAAAGTAGACGGTTTCAACAAGGGCCGCAGGAGGTCACGGCGAGAGTAGTTTCATTAGCTGGAAAGGAGGCCGGTCGTCCTCGGCGCCATTCAGCGGCCGCAGCTGGAAGCAGAGAACACCATTTCACCTGCACCACAGGGGGACGCTGGAATGGATGCACTTAGTATAATACAGCAGAGAGGAGACCTGCGTGCGCTGCCTTCATCTTGATAGCCTTTTAGACAAAGTGGTACGCAAGTTCCACGTCTGAAGAACATGATCAAAAGAACCCCACTGCAGTGAAAAATAGAGGGAACACGACATT